GTATGTGTGTGTGTGTGTGTATATATATATATATATATATATATATATATATATATATACACAATAAAAAAATAAAATAAAAAAATATTTTGTCTTTGAACCATATTAGTGGTGTTTGCTAAGGCAAGTATCACTGTTAGTTTTGCAATAAAAAAATAAAATAAATTAATATTAATTAATTAATTAAGTAATTTTTTTTGTATAATAAATGTATTGAACAGTGGCAGAGTGTTTGTATTGAATATATTAAATTATAACCATTTGTAAACAATCATGTTTTTAAATGATGATATATATTATATGTAGTTATATACAGTATATATTTATATATAATATATATATATATAATATATAGATTGTGTGTAAAATAATATATACATATATATAATAGTTTATATAGGCCTATCCTGTATGTATATGTATATATATATATATATATATATATATATATATATATATATATATATAAATATATATACATACATACATATAGGCCTATATAAACCATTTTTAAAACAAACATGTGTGTATATATATATATATATATATATATATATATATATATATGAAGAGTTCAGATGCAAAAGCCTTTAAGTGCCATTTGAAATTTTCTTCTTGATCATTTTTATCAAGCTTGTATATTTAAGTTCAGTAATTTCACTTAAATTGCAATGAGGATTATTAATTGTCATTTAAGTGAAATTACTGAACTTGAATATATAAGCTTGATAAAAATCATCATTTTAGAAGAAAATTTCCAATGGCACTTAGAGGCTTTTGCATCTGAACTCTTGCATCTGTGTGTGTGTTAAAATACGTGTTTTTTGTTTTTTGTTTTTTTTTTTTCGTGTGTGTACAATATATACACATTGAAAACAATAAGAAATTGGAAAAGATCCATAAATTTCTACCATTTTTTGAAGAGATGCTGTCCAATAAGAGACTCTTCCAACAATAATAAGCGTGAGAATAAAGCACAGTTTCTGCTACGGTTGGTAAGACTAACAAATTACACACACACACACACACACACACACCATAAGGAGTCGCTCAATACTCGTCTGTTAAAACAACAAGGACTGTTTTCGACTGCTTATGTCTGAGATCTACTGAAACACATGAGGAAGAGCACACACTGAAGACCCTCCGAGCATCATCATCATCATCATGATCATCTGGTCATGGTCATCAGTGCTTTAATTACACCAAGAGGCGGATGAACACAGACAGATGGAGGGATTACTGAAGCTCGATGTGACGGATCAAACCCACAACAGCACACGCTGTTCTCATGAAGCTCCTGCGAGAGCTCCAACTACACTCCGCTTATATTCCACCCTGAAACCTGTTGCATTCTGGGAGGTGTCGCATTGCTAAAAACTGCGGAGCTTCGTAAATATGACGATCTTTTCCTAAATAAGCAGACTGCACTGGAACGAGAGTAATGTGGTGTAATCCGGTGGAATGAACACAATAGCGCTTGCTTTAAAACCATTACGATCATTACAGGTCGTCTCAGCTCCACTGCGTTTAAAAGCACATTTGAAACCATATTAGTGGGAGTTTTCTTACTTATCGTTAGTGATTTAAGGCCAGTTGATTTAGTGCCGCACACACACAACACACACCAGGAACCCAAAAACCCAAATCTCTTCCACTCGCGGCTCCTCACACCGACATCACGGGGTTTCCGCTGCATGGTCAGGGTTTAATTGTGGATTCGTCTCAAATAAAGAAAGCTGCTTTTTGCCCAATTTGTAGTGTTTTATGTCCAGATCAGAAGTAAACAGAGCGTCTCGGAGGATTACAAGGTTGCATCCGAGGAAAGTCAATACAAGGTCCCTGAATGATGATTAGAGAGAGAGAGAGAGAGAGAGAGAGAGCACAAGAGAGAAAGAGAGAGAGAGAGAGAGAAAGCACAAGGACGACGCTTGTGTAAGTGTGTGAAGCGTGAGATCTGTGTGAAACACCCGTGAGGTCAGACTGAAGATCACTGACCACTTCCTGTTATATTACTGCACTATCTATCTATCTATCTATCTATCTATCTATCTATCTATCTATCTATCTATCTATCTATCTATCTATCTATCTATCTATCTATCTATCTATCTATCCCTCCATCTATCCCTCCATCCATCCATCCATCTATCTATCTATCCATCCATCCATCCATCCATCCATCCATCTACCCCTCCATCTATCCATCTATCTATCCATCCATCTATCTATCCATCCATCTATCCCTCCATCTATCCCTCCATCTATCCCTCCATCTATCCATCTATCTATCCCTCCATCTATCCCTCCATCTATCCCTCCATCTATCCATCTATCTATCCCTCCATCTATCTATCCCTCCATCTATCCCTCCATCCATCCATCTATCTATCCATCCATCTATCCCTCCATCTATTCCTCCATCTATTCCTCCATCCATCCATCCATCCATCTATCTATCCATCCATCCATCCATCCATCCATCCATCCATCTACCCCTCCATCTACCCCTCCATCTATCCATCCATCTATCTATCCATCCATCTATCTATCCATCCATCCATCCATCCATCCATCTATCTATCCATCCATCCATCCATCCATCCATCCATCTACCCCTCCATCTACCCCTCCATCTATCCATCCATCTATCTATCCATCCATCCATCCCTCCATCTATTCCTCCATCTATTCCTCCATCCATCCATCTATCTATCTATCCATCCACCAATCCATCCATCTACCCCTCCATCTACCCCTCCATCTATCCATCTATCTATCCATCCATCCATCTATCTATCCATCCATCTATCCCTCCATCTATCCCTCCATCTATCCCTCCATCTATCCCTCCATCTATCCATCTATCTATCCCTACATCTATCCCTCCATCTATCCATCCATCTCTCCCTCCTGGTAACGGTGTAAATTCACACACATCTGCTTGTGACTTCAGTACTTCTCCTTTAATTAAGTCCTATATTTCTCCGGCTTCCTCAGAGATGTGTGTGTGTGTGTGTGTGTGTGTTTGTGATCTCCAGTGTGTGTTTCGACGGCTGATGTTATTGTTCTCCCGGATGTGACGAGGTCTGAATAAAAGCAATCTCATCCAGCGCTGAAGTGGAGTGTGTTCTGCTCCTGACACCGGAGCGACGGAGGAGAGCCGCTTCTCCTGATTAGAGCCGCACGATCCGTCCCTGAAGAGGCTCTCGCTAACAGAGCGTTTAGAGAAAGCGTTTGACCTCACGAGGTGTGTGTGTGTGTGAGTGTCGAGGTGTGTTTTGTCGGCTATTGGCAGAGAGGAATCCGAGTGCTCGAACAATGAAGTTCAATGAAAGCAATTCTCAGAAATGAAACATCTCTCTGTGCTTCTAAAGGCCACGACTCTTCTTTGTGTGTGTGTGTGTGTGTGCGTGTTCGTGTGAGTGAGAGAGAGAAAGAATGAGTGAGAGTGAGAGAGTGTGTGTGTGTGTGTGTGTGTGAGAGGGAGAGAAAGTGTGTGTGTGTGTGTGTGTGTGTGTGTGTGTGTGTGAGAGAGAGAGAGAGTAATTGAGAGTGTGAGTGTGTGTGTGAGTGAGTGAGTGAGTGAGAGAGAGAGAGAGAGTGCGAGTGAGTGAGAGAGTAATTGAGAGTGTGAGTGTGTGTGTGAGTGAGTATGTGTGGGACTGAGTGAGTGATTGCGTGTGTGTGTGTGTGTGTGTGTGTGTGTGCGAGAGTGTGATTGAGTGAGTGAGTGAGTAAGTGTGTATGTGTGTGTGTGTGTGTGTGTGTGTGTTGGGGAAACACTCCCTGCTCCCGATATTTGCAGGCAGTTTCTCAGTGCGTCGGAGACGGCGTTCCCATGGCGATGCCCAGAGGATTCCTCCATTGTCCTTAAACAATTACTTGAGTGGAAGACGAGCGGAAACAACGAGAGTAAAAGCTCTGCTCTCTGCGCTTCTGTTTCAGTACAATGAGCCAAACACACTCAATCTGCCAAACACACTGATCAGAGACTCTCAGCTGACTGAACCGTGTGTTTTCAGCCGCCTCATGTGACAACACACAACAAACATCTGCACTGAGTCATTATACTGTGAGCTGGGGCTATAATCAAACACACACACACAGACAGACGGACACATGCACGCACGTGTGTGTGTGTGTGTGTGTGTGTTTGTGAGAGTGTTTGACTGAGTGTGTTTGTGAGTGAATGTGTGTGTGTGTGTGTCAGTCCAGTGTGTGCTCCAGTTCTCCAGCAGAAGCGCTCCACAATCCTCTCAGCACTCCAGCATAATCCTTTCTTCGTTCTTTATTGAAAAATGTGTTTAGTTTGAAAATAGCATCAAAGAAAATGCCTGGTGAGTCTGAGCCTCCGAGGAAAGACAAATCCTGCTGAAGTCCCGTGACCAGAGTACACAGGGACAGAAATAATGCCTGCCAAATATTAATTAAATATGTTAACACTGCTAAATATATTCATCACTACAGCGACACCGTCACCGCCTCCTTCAGTCTGCGATTCCTAACTCACTAAACCTCATATTTTTCTATTGTTTCTCCTAAACAGATATTAGTTTAAATAGAAATAAAATGAAATCTCCAGTTTGAAATATCAATATGAACTCATACATTTATCCCGGCAAACCAAAACACGTTCTAAGAACGTTTAGCTAATTAATTTATGAAGACGTTAATGTTTTATGAAAGTTCAAAACTCTGACTCTAGCATCTGAATGTGTTCAACAGAAATCAAGACTCATCAGATCAGGCAACATGTTTCCAGTCTTCAACTGGCCAACTTTGCTGAGCTCTTGCCAATTGTCGCCTCTTTTTCCTATTTGTAGTGGAGATTAGAAATCGAACAGGTGTTTCTAATAGTAGGGCTGTCAAACGATTAATCACGATTAATCGCATCCAAAATAAAAGTTTGTGTTTACATAATATATGTGGGTGCACTGTGTATAATTATATATATATATACACAGTAAATTTACCGGTGTTGATTTTCCAGTGTTACAATAAAGTGTTAAAATAAAGTGTTAAATCAACACCAAACAGATTGGATTTGACACCAAAAGTGTCGGTTTTAAATAAGAGTTGGTGTCATTTTGCGTTGTTGCAAACATAACTCTTGTCTGGAGTTAACCAAGCCACACCTTCGTTTACCCTCAACTGTCGTTTTGACTGAGCCAGAGTCCAGAACACATGCAAGCGCCATTTTACTTCTGTGGAAGAGTCAAGAGTGGTAAGTCAAAATACTTTAATTTGATAGTAATACTGATAAACCAGACTGTAAATTGATTTAATTGTATACAATTTATTAGTTTTTATATTGTTCGATAACAGGACTGTAATAATGAATAGGCTAGCTAACATGTATACAGCCAACGAGCTGACGCCTGATTTTTGGCTTGTGTCATGCCACTTTATAAACGATGTAAAGTAAAGCCTCGATAAAGTTTAGTTTTATCTGTCATTACGGCATTTTCTATCCGAGCACACTCGACAAAGCCTGATGAGGGCGCGAAGCACATTGTAGGCCATTTTACGAGGTGAACTGTTGCGTGTTGAATTTTTAGTGTAACGTTACCGGTTAACTTGCCTGACAGGAACATCACTGGACTAAAACAAATGGTTATGATTTTAATTCGAAGGTTATTTCGTTGACCGTGCTCCTGTGATAATCATGGTTCTGAATTGTGGTAGGTTAACGTCAAGTTTTTAATGTTGTGAAATGATTGAGCTGCGTGCATTTTCTATCCGAGCACACTCGACAAAGCATGCGGGCGCGAAGCACATTGTCGGCCATTTTACGAGGTGAACTGTTGCGTGTTGAATTTTTATAGTGTTCTACCAGTTAACTTGCCTAACAGGAACGTCACTGGACTAAAACAAATGGTTATGCTTTTAATTTCAAGGTTATTTCGTTGACCGTGCTCCTGTGATAATCATGGTTCTGAATTGTGGTAGGTTAACATCAAGTTTTTAATGTTGTGAAATGATTGAGCTGCGTGCATTTTCTATCCGAGCACACTCGACAAAGCATGCGGGCGCGAAGCACATTGTCGGCCATTTTACGAGGTGAACTGTTGCGTGTTGAATTTTTACAGTGTTCTACCAGTTAACTTGCCTAACAGGAACGTCACTGGACAAACAAATGGTTATGCTTTTAATTTCAAGGTTATTTCGTTGACCGTGCTCCTGTGATAATCATGGTTCTGAATTGTGGTAGGTTAACATCAAGTTTTTAATGTTGTGAAATGATTGAGCTGCGTGCATTTTCTTTCCGAGCACACTCGACAAAGCATGCGGGCGCGAAGCACATTGTCGGCCATTTTACGAGGTGAACTGTTGCGTGTTGAATTTTTACAGTGTTCTACCAGTTAACTTGCCTAACAGGAACGTCACTGGACAAACAAATGGTTATGATTTTAATTTGAAGGTTATTTCGTTGACCGTGCTCCTGTGATAATCGTGGTTCTGAATTGTGGCAGGTTCAAGTTTTTAATGTTGTGAAATGATTGAGCTGCATGTCATATAATTTCTGCCAAACAGGGAACGCAGTTAACGTTAAAATGTTGTACTTGTGAAATTAAGCACGCATTTGCGTTTTAAGGAACGAAAATATGTGTTAGTGTTTGGTTTAGCTGCTAACCGTTTGTGTGGAACACTCTTCGTTAACATTAGTTAAGTAGAAAATTAAGTAGAAATGTGATATAATTAAGGCAGTGGCACATATCTCCAACGTACTCATCTCCCTAAGGCTTAGCTAAACATTTAACGTTAGTCGACATTATTGACAAAGGTAAAAAATAAAACTGTCGACAGAAATTTTAACTAATGTGAGATATGCCTGGAAAATTGCGTTTTAACCATTTTAACCACCGCTAGCTAGTTTGCCTTTTTGCAGTCCTGCCTGATGTTATAGAAGACTGCGATTGAAGCTTTTAATGGTGGTGCGCTAAATAAATCGGCTCCATCTGAACAAATCGATTTTAAATGTGTTTATTTTTACATTTAACTTGTGTTTAATTGAGCAAAATCGACGTGAACAATAGTACATCAATAAATTGATCTGGTAATATGACGTCGGTTTCGCATTTACAAATTCGCATTTAACGTTACATGGATAAAATGGCATTTTGAATAAAAAAAATATATATACATACAGAAATTTGGTTTTGAATTGAATCAAATGTTAGTTATAGCAACCAATTAAGATGTGTGTCTTCTTCTCCCAACCAGGAGTTCAGAGGTAAAATCATGATAGTCAAAGCACAATTTCGAAATCAGAAGAAGTTCATAAAAATCCCAGAGGCGTGCTTTGATACATTTATAGCAGAAGGTAAGTAATAAACTTTTTATTAACAATTATGTAATATATATATATATATATATATATATATATATATCTCCGTATGTGCCAAATTGTGAAGTTGCATCAAAATAATAAACATTTTGTTGTGCAGTGAAAGAGAAGTTTTCAATACAGGAAGACCTTGCAGTTACAGTTACAGATGACACTGGCACAGAGGTGGATAAAGATGTGTTTCCTGATTTAATGACCACCAGTGGGTTGGTTTTTGTCATACATGAATTGAATGACATTGGTGAGTTAGGACAGGAGCTACAGTATTGAATGATGTCTGAATGAATGCTTTTAGTGTATAATATGTTCAGTATTTTAATTGTTGTATCTAGTTTTGATGGTGTGCGGGTCGAAATGTATTCCTAATATGTCTATTAACCCTAGTTTGAACATTAACAGGACCTTCCACACCTCAATCTTCAGTCAGCTTGGATACAGATACACTGTCTCTAACTTCAAAAAGCAGTGAGGACAGTGAATGGCTTAGTCCAAAACGATTCAGGATGGATGGTGATGAGGATTCTCAAAGCTTACAGGCTAGAGATGTGAGTCCCAGTAGCCTTACACAGACATTTGGGGATTTACTTATCATAACCTTGAGCTTCACATGCAAAAAAATTGTTCTTTTCTTTTTGTTGTTGTTGTATTTTATACATAGCCTAGTAATTTTCCAGATTAGGAGCATAAGTCTGGGGCATTTAAATATTCCTGCATTTTCCACTCTATTATTACATGGACCTGTGGAACATTTTATTCTGGTCAATTGACCCTATTTACTTTTTAGCGGACATTGTGTTGAACAGTTAATCTGTGCAAATAAATAGTCAGATTTTTATTTAATTTTTCCATAGTAATTGAGAGATGGAGGCCAGGAAATCTAAAGTAAAACACCGCCCTATTTAGAATTTAGTTTCACTTGGAAGGTAACACTTTATTTGAAGGGGTGTGCATAAGACTGTCATGACACTGTCATAAACATGACATAACACCTGTCATGAACATGAAGGAGTCTTTATGAATGTTTATGACTGTTGTCATTAAGTGTCATTCGGTAAATTATGACACTTTTAATGCAAAGTTGACATTGTTCAAAATGTCTTTGTTATGACAACTTGACTTTAACAAAGACAAAAATGTCTTGATTATGACAACTTGACATTAACAAAGATAGAAATGTCTTGATTATGACAACTTGACATTAACAAAGATAGAAATGTCTTGATTATGACAACTTGACATTAACAAAGATAGAAATGTCTTGATTATGACAACTTGACATTAACCAAGAAATCATAACTAGTCAAACGTGTTCCACTTCACTTGAGGTAAGGGGAAATGTTAATGACACTGTTGTTAAAGCATTTGACAGTGTAATAATCCTTAATGACATCTTTATGACTAGTACAATGTGTTCCAATTTACTTGAGGACAAGTAAAATATTCATGTCACAGTTATAATGGTGTCATGACAACCAAAGTTAAAACCAACCATAACATATGACAGCGTAATGTAATGTTAACACAAAGCTAAATAACTTCTTTAAGTTTGATAATTAGACCTGTTATGACATATTTGTGTCAGGTTATAATTTCTTGGTTAATTGGTAAAGTTGTCATAAAGACATTTTTGTCTTGGTTAATGTCAAGTTGTCATAACAAAGACATTTTTTTTTAATGACACTTAATGACAATAGTCATAAACATTCATAAAGACTCCTTCATGTTCATGACAGGTGTTATGTCATGTTTGTGACAGTGTCATGTCAGTCTTATGCACACCCCTTCAAATAAAGTGTTACCCTCAAATCAATATATCTGATCAATATTTCATGTCTAATTATTAACTTATGTGGCAAGAAACGTGTAATAAGCAGAATAATGTACATCCAGCAGTTTATTCTGTTATCGCAGAATAAACCCCTTCAGGCTAATGCAAGAACCCTCCGCTTCAAGTCCTTATCAGCCTGTCGGAGTTTATTCTGCGATAACAACTGGCTGGATGTACATTATTTTGCTTATTACACAGCTGTTTTATAACAACTGGCTGTATGTATGTTATGTCCTTACATAATTGATTAATGTTGCTCTTTTTATAGTTTATAAAAGAAATTCTACAGACAAGACCAGGTGGAGCAAATGTGCTTAAGGAGTTTGAAGATACAGGGACAATTAGCGATGACATGAGAAAACAGATGGTGAACATCTTGGTTGCACACATGATTGAGACAGAAGGGTAATTATCAAAATTGTATAGTCTTGGGTTATTTAATTTATGTGATTATGATAGTATATATCAATTGTGAAGTATTTTAGTTGGGTGGTACACATTTAATATAGTAAGTAATAAGTAATTATTCTGAAAGTAAGAGTGGTTTAATTATATATTTTTAAACAATTTTCAACAATGTAAAGTAACATTGAGTGTTTCCATTTTTCAGGAGAGTCCCACATCGACTTACCAAACAGAAGTATGGTTTGGGAATTATCACCTTGTTTCCCTCACTCAGAGATCCCCAAGGGAGAACTGGATATGTAAGTCATTATGTGAGATTAGAACATAAATATTTTTGTGATCATTAAGAAATGTCTTTAAGAAGTTGTCATTTTCAATGGAGGGTTACAATTAGGGCTGTCACTTGATGTTTGAAAATCGATTGCATAATCGATCGGACGAACCAACACAAGTTTCGCAAACGAAAATAGGGAATCGATTTTAAAGGCCTTCTTGTGGAGCGCGTCCAGCTCCAGTTCCGTTGAAAATTGAAACATCTAAAGTTTAGACATGGAAAATCGATTTTTACAATTGATTCAATTAACACCTATGTCTGAAAAATCAAACAGGATTTTTTCACAAAAGTGACAGCCCTAGTTACAATTGAGTTTTAATTTGTGTCTTTTCATCAGGAACATTTTTATGATGGCCAAAAAAACACTGGATTCTTGTCATGGCGCCTCAAGACTGTACAAAGGGGGACAAAACCTTCTGCAAATAAGGATGATCCAAAAACAGAAGAAAAGGGAGGCCCTTTGCTTGACAGACAGCTGTGCCACCATGAAGATCAGCTAGATAATGACCAAAGTGTAGAGGCTATCTCCTTGATGAATCATACAAGTGACCGTGAGGTCATCATGCAGAAGATGAGGGCCACGTTTGAATACAGACAGCGCCTTATCCATGATCCAGAGAGATCCACCACAATTCTCTCAGTTTTTCCTCGATTCCTGGATACTAAAGGATTGGTATGGATTTTGTCTTTGTTTTTCTAACCAAAATAAAATGCTAGTTTCAGAGAATTGTCAAATAGACTGCTTAGTTGAAAAAAAAAAAAATTAATGCTAATTTCTTTACATGTTTTCTGCAAACTGCTTCAGATTCATCAGGACTTCACGCTCCTCTTTGGGTCAGAAACTGCTTCCCGACTTTTTGAACGGTGGCCAACTGTTTTCAAAGCAAAGGTTATCAGGCTAGCAGAAACCTTGACTTCCACTCCACTGCTGAAAAGATTACTGTCATCTTCCAGAGAGAAAAGGGAGGAACTGGATTCCCCAGGTAGAGTTTTACAGAACAAACTTGCAATGCCTTTGGAGTTAAAATCTGCTTAGCTTAACTATTGTAGTGTTGACATTTGTGTTTTTCAGAATGGGACAGTGACATATCATCCTTCCTTCTTCTACTGCATCTCTTGTCACCCCAGGCTTCAGGAAGAAAGAAAGCCAACAGAATCAGTATTTCTCAGGCTGTTGACCACGTGTTGGTATTTCAAAAAGTAGGTAATTGGTGACAAAATACAAGGGCTATTAGCGTTATACTTAGATTTGGTCTGCTTAAAGGGATAGTTCACCCAAAAATGAAGGTTCTGTCAGTAATTACTCTCCCTCATGTTGTTCAACCCCGTACAACTTGCGTTCATCTTCAGAACACATATTAAGATATTTTAGATTCAATCTGAGAGCTGGATCACTCCTCCATAGGCTTCTAAGGGATTAAAACTAGAAATGTTATTAAAGACATTGTTAATCCAAGTGACTACAGTGGTTCAATCTCAAGTTTATCAACCGACGAGAATACTTTTTGTGCACCCAAATGAAATAACGATTTTAATCCACTATTAATTTTTCTTCTGAGTGAGTTCATGTAGTGCAACAGAGTAGCGCCTCTGTGTTCAATGTCACCACGTAGGCTCACTATTGGCTGACGTTGGTTATGTGCTGGTCATGTGTTGATGAGTGTGACGTACATCACAGAAATGCTGCTCTGGTACACTACATGAACTCATTTAGGCCCAGGCAGAAGAAAATTAACAGTGGATTAAAATTGTTATTTTTGTTTGTTTTTTTGCGCACAAAAAGTATTCTTGTCGCTTGATAAACTTGAGATTAAACCACTGTAGTCACTTGGACTATTTTAACGATGACTTCAATAACTTTTCTGGGCCAGCTAGTTTCAGTCCCTTAAGGGGGTCGCACACCGGACGAGAAGCGCAGCGCCGCACATTCTAATCGCACATTCGCGCAAGCTCAACTTTGAATCAACTCCTGGTAGAAGAGTTGCACGATGTGTGAGTTTTAACTTAATTTATTAAATGTTGATTGAATAATAGATGATGTTTGAACGTTAATCTGGTAAAAGTGTCTGTGTTATTTTGTTGTAATGTTATCCGTTGTCTAAGCAACTATGTCACAAAATACAATAGTATTTATTGTTCTAGCATTTAGCTAACCCGAGTGAAAACAGCACAGGGTGAATCCATGTACATAAACAACGATTTGACACAAATACATGTACATTTAATAGAAAAATATGTAAGTGGTGCGACAGGGTTTTGAACAAGGTCCTGAGCCGTAGCTGGGTGCCGTGGACAGACGGCGAATGGCGCCGCTGGTGTAAGTACACTCGTAGAGAATGTAATGTCCGAATTTTTAAGACATGGCGCAGCGCTGCGCTTCTCGTGCTGTGTGCGATCCCGCTTTAGAAACCTATGGAAGAGTATCCATCTCTCAGATTTAATAAAAAATGTGTTCTGAGGATGAACGTAAGTCGTACGGGGTTAGAACAACATGAGTGTGAGTATTTACTGACAGAATTTTCATTTTTGAGTGAACTAACATTTTTCCATCTAATATGATGAACTGTAAAATGGGGGTTAATGTAGTAAGTTATCTAAATGTAAATCATTTAAACCAGAGATGTTCACAAGTCCTTTAACATCCAGTTGGTGCTGTGTACTGTTTTCTTCTGGAGTGTCTCCTGTTCTTTACAATGTTAAGCTAAAAATATTCAAATTTATGCTTACTAATAAAGCTGTACTTGTTTGTATTACTATTAATCAAATTTTTGTTTTTGTTTCTTTGTTTTCTTCATTCAGGCATGCCGGAGTATACAGGAACATCTTGAGGCAGAAGAGAATCGTCAACCCTACATTCTTGCCACAGGGAGCAGCAAGGAAGCCATCAGTCAGTTCTTCATTGTGGTTGATAAAAAGCTCATCCCCTGTCAAGAATCCTCTTCACTTGCAGCAATTGATGAACTCTTCAAGGTCCATTTTGTTTTCAGTATCACTTATGATCTTCCACTCAAAAATATGTACACTTTTCTCCAGACTACAGTCTACAGAATTGATGTTGGCACTACAAGTGAGAGCCCAAGGGTGAAGGAGCTCAGAGCTAAGTTACTGAATGATGTTTAGATGCTACATCTGTAAAACGCTGCTTGCTACAACTGTAAAACTAATTCGGCACCTTAAACTTGTACATGGTTTGTATCCTGGCAAGAAATTTGAGCTGGTTTGTGCTCAGGATGGTTGTTCCTTGCAATTTAAAAGTTATGCTGGGTTTAGAAAACATTTAATTAGATTTCATTGTAGCAGTGTAGCATCAAGCAGTGAGAATGTATCACAACAAAATCAACAAGCTCCAAATCCCGATGAAGCAGCATCACTTGTTGTGTCTGACACAGAACAAAGTTCAGGTAATGATGCAATTTTGCATGAATGTTCTTCTGTTTCAAGGGATTGTTCCAGGGAAATGTGTGCCTCTATAATAGCTAAATTGCAGGGTAGTGGTGTTGCAAACAGTGTTATTATGTCAGTTGTTGAAAGCATGGAGGATTTTGTTACTGATTTCCATACAAGTCTAAGAGAAAAAATTTTAAACGTTGTGCCTGTTGAAAGCACAAGTAGAAGTTCAGTTGAAGATGTTTTTAATAATTTTCATAATCCATTCACCGATTTTAATACCGATACAAAATGGAGAAAATATTTCATTGAGAAATGGGGGGTTGTTGAACCTACTGAAATAGTCTTAGGTGTCAGATACGATACAAGAAAGAACAAGATCTCTGGAATGTATGAACAGATTCCAGTTAATGACACTTTCATATATATCCCTCTTCTGAAGACTCTTGAATTCATTTTCAGGAATAAAGAAGTGTGTAATCTTTTTCAAGAGAAACGGCAAAGTGACATGTATCGAGATTTTTGTGACGGACAGTATTACAAAAACCATGCTTTGTACTCCATCCATTGCAATGCACTTCAGATCCAAATTTACTACGACGATTTCGAAACTGCAAACCCATTAGGATCTAAACATGGGATTCATAAACTTGGCTGTTTATATTTTGTGCTTCGTAACCTGCCAGCACACATAAATTCGTCGTTAATGAACATACATCTAATTTCTTTGTTTCATTCTGAAGATGGAAAAAAGTATGGCATAGACAAAATACTTGGCCCATTGGTTGATGATGTGAAAATACTTGAGCATGAGGGAATGAAGGTGTCATTTTCTGAGGAGCCCATCTTTGGTACTATTGCGCAATTTACTGGCGATAACCTAGGTCTAAATGGTATTCTTGGTTACGTTGAATCTTTTTCTGCAAAACATTACTGCAGACTGTGCCTCACTGACAAGGTGTTAGCACAGGAAGTATTTAGTGAGGATGATCCGCGGGTGATATTGCGCAACAGAAACCTAAATGAGGAACATTACCAGTATCTTGCTGACAACCCTAATGAAAACTCCTGTTATGGTATTAAAAGAAATTCTGTACTCAATACCTTGACTTACTTCAATGTATCAGAGAACTTTGTGCTGGATATTATGCATGATATCCTGGAGGGAGTTGCACAGTATGAAGTGAAACTGCTTTTTGAATACATGAGTTGTAATCTAATTCCTGGCGATTCCATTCCGCAAAGATTGTATGCCTTCAACTATGGTTATTTGGACAAAAATAACCGTCCAACCAGGGTCAACCTTAACCAAGCAGGAAACGGCATTGGACTCAACGCAAGTCAGACATTGTGTCTGATTAGGAACATCCCACTCATATTTGGAGATGTGGTCCCAGAGGGGGATAAGCATTGGCATTTGATGTTGCTTCTCTTACATATTGTTAACATTATATTTTCTCCTTGCATCTCTCAAGGAATGACAATATTTTTGAAGCATCTGATAGTGGAGCATCATCGACTGTTCAAGGAGTTATATCCTTCTAGGAATCTGATTCCAAAGCACCACCTCATGATACACTACCCTGAATGCATCAGGAAAATTGGCCCATTAATTCATGTTTGGACTATGAGGTATGAAGCAAAACACAGGTTTTTTAAGAAAAATCTAAAAAATTTCAAAAACCTGACCAAATCACTTGCAAAAACACATCAGCTCGCCATTGCCTATCACTGGGAGCACTGTCCTATCAAAGGTATTGAGTCTGGCCCTGTTTCAAAAGAATTGTTGTCCGACCTTGAAAACAATGATTTTATTTCTGAGCAGCTCCACATTGATCTCTCAAGTGAAGTAACTGTCACACCGTGGGTAAAGTGTCATGGTACGGAGTATCGTATTGGTCTTGTTGTATGCTTAGACTTGGTTGAGGATGCACCTGTCTTTGGAAAAATTGTTAAAATTTTTATTAAGGATGGAATTTTTTTTTTGGCATCATGTATGGAATCAGAGTTTGTTGAACATCTTCATGCTTTCAGTGTTGTTGCACAAGAGAACAGTCTTGTACTCAAAAAACCTGACGAATTGTTTTACCACAAACCTTTTGATTTACAAATGTCCTATGGCAATGACAGTCTATTTTACATCGTTTTGGACTGTTATTTGTAAAAACAAAAAATCAAATAAAAGGTTTGAAAGAGTAACATGGAGTGTGAAGTTTTTATTTCAAAGTATTATTTTCAGATTAAATAATTGTCAGTTTATTTTATAATTCTTTAGGTGGTAGGTGATGCAGTTTAAGGAAAAACTGGCAACTCCCTTAGTGTTGTTTTTTATTTGTAAATAGGTGTTCTTTCGACACCAGGATGGTGTAATATTTGACTCCAATAAGGTTGAGAAGATTGTGATTTCCATTTTTTTAAAGTGATAAATCAACACCAGAAAAGTGTAGAATTTTAACTCTGCCAGTGTTTGCTACAAATCTGCACCCAGCTCTGTAACAGTGTTGTTGTTATCTGCGTTGGTGTTAATATTCTACTCTCTTAGTGTTCATATTGTAACACTGTGTCGGTGTTGCGAGAGGCAACACTTTTGAAAGTGTTGAACTAACACTTTGTGGGTGGTTCCCATATATACACTTTTAAAGTGTTGAAATTAACTCTATTGGTGTTAATTTCCGGATTTCAAATTTACTGTGTATATATATATATATAAAAATACACACACATGCATGTATATTTAAGAAAAAAAATATTATTTATATATAGAAAATATTCATATTTTTATATAAATATTTTCTATATATAAATAATTTTTTTTTCTTAAATATATATGTTGATGCTTTGGCAACATTGTGTTACACAGTCATGCTAATAAAGCTATATTGAATTGATTATATTTTTATATAATATAAATTATATATAAATCTATATACAGTATATACATGAAAATATTTCTTAAATATATACAACCATGTGTGTGTATTTATATATATTTAAGAAAAATGTGTTATTAATATATCAAATATTTATATTTATATATAATATTATTTGTGAATAAATATATATAAAATATATACATGCACATATTTCTTAAATATATACATGCATGTGTGTGTATTTATATATACAAATTAATTATACACACTACACACAGATATATTATGTAAACACAAACTTTTATTTTGGATGCGATTAATTGCGATTAATCATTGCCCATCCCTAATATATATATATATAAAAATTATACACAGTGCACCCACATATATTATGTAAACACAGACTTTTATTTTGGATGCGATTAATTGCGATTAATCATTGCCCATCCCTAATATATATATATATAAAAATTATACACAGTGCACCCACATATATTATGTAAACACAGACTTTTATTTTGGATGCGATTAATCATTTGACAGCCCTACCTAATAGTCAACAGAACAGAACCTCTTTTAAACAAAAACCCGTTTTATTTTAGCTTAATGCAATTTTTTTTATCAACACAATACTTGAATGTGGGTAAGTTTAATAAAAAAGCAACATTTTGAACAAAAAGTTGAGAAAATCATGTTTTTGTCAAAGAATATACGTCTGTATCAGATTCAGGATGATGATCAAAACACAGATGGAGTCGATCGAGTCCCCCTACAGTATATCAGGGGAAGTCGGAAATTGACGTAAATTGTGGGGAAATGCAATATTAACCAAGATTAATTATGATTATCATTTTATTATTTAGTAAAAATAGCATATTTGCCTCCAAAGAAGTGTTAAAAACATGCAGAGATTCTCTGTAAAAGAGCTGATCCGTAGCCTGTGTTTGTTGGTTTTCATCATTTTTGAAGCTCGACACGGTTGCGTACAGCAGGTGTTTGTGTGTAATGATCACACACGTTTCCCGCCGCACTCATCACCACCGCTAGCCCCACGCTGTGGGATTCAGTTCCGCTGCTCAAAATTTAGCAAACATGTCTTCAAATATCAAGACCGATCATGCATTTATAAACCAGCTGCTATGAAATTAACAAAAACAAACCAGAACAGCGAGTACAAATACACACCAATATACCATGAATGCCACAACTGGCCAATCACAATCAAGTATTCCAACGCATCATCTGCATCATCCATTCAAATCTAAAGCCTATAGTCTCTATATAAGCCGGATCCCAGATCAACACATGAAAAGTTGTTTCGGGTCTGAAGCGAATCAAATGAAAGAGTTAACGTTGTGCATCAAACACGGCGGTGTAAAGGTTTTCATTTTAAGCACTGACAGACTTTTAATCATGTTTGATACACACATTTCTAAGGCCTTTAAATTATCAAAACTTTGCTGATAAACCTGTCGCACACAATCTCCTAAAGTCCTTCTGTCCTTCTGATAGTTTTTAGCAAGTAAAAGTCTTTTAGACTTAGACTTCTCTTTATTAATCCTTTGGGATGACTCCCAAAAGGAAATTGAAAATTCCAGCAGCATTTTTAGCAAGAAAAAGGAAGGAGAATAGTAAATAAAAAGAAGACAAAACAAAAAACAAAATAACAGTAGTAATAATAAATAGAATAATAATAAAAATAATACTAATAATAATAGTCAAAGTTTACAGTTTAATAGTCAAAATATCAACCAAAAGAAAAAAAAGACCATAAAAAAGTGTCAGTGTTAAAGTGCTAGAGTGATAAAGTGAGTTTAGTGAGTTTAAATATGCTATTTTTGCTTCTAAAGTTTAGTGTAATTGCACTGATTTTTATCAAGTAATAGTTATATTTCAAGATGAACACTTACTGGACTGAAACAACTCAAGTTTACTTGATTATCCAGACATCATTTTGTTTTGTTTTTTCAAACGATTAATCGCGATTAATCACATTCCAAAATAAAAGTTTGTGTTTACATAATATATGTGGGTGCACTGTGTATAATTATTTTGTATATATATATATATATATATATATATATATATAAATACACACACATACTTGTATATATTTAAGAAATATTTTCATGTATATTTATATTATTTTTATGATTATGATTTTTTTTCTTAAATATACATGCATGTGTGTGTATATATATACTTATAAATATATATACAAAATAATTATACACAGTGCACCCACATATATTATGTAAACACAAACATTTACTTTGGATGCAATTAATCGTGATTAATCATTTGACAGCCCTATTTTTTTTTAAATCATAAGTATCAAATATGATCATCAGGCTTTTGAGGAAGATCTCTCAATCATCACTGTATGCATTGCATTATATGCTTTAAAACTAGAGCTTTGATCATAAAACTAAGATATATTTAATATAATATCTTACTAAGACTTAATATTGGCAGATACAGAAAAACGACTGATATTTATATGTATTTTAATCTAAATATCTGCAATACTGTTATTAAAGATCTCATTGATTCACAACAAGCGTCAGAATTTCATCTTCATTTTTGACCATATAAATATCAGCATCTACACCAAATTTTTTATATTGTGTATTTTGCTCAGTTTAAGCCTCTGAATATTATTTCAGTATATTAGCATAAAAGCTAATTTAATGCTCAACAAAAACACTTCTTATATTTCATCTGAATAAACTGTTCCATAAAAAAAAACATGTTTTTTCTGACTATAATTTCACATGTCGGGCTTTACAAGGGTTAAAATATCTCTCAGTGTGTGCATTCTTCCTCAAAAAAAAAAAAAAAAGAAAATATGGGCCAAAATCATAATGGTTCTGGATGTTTTTGTGACAGATGGTGTTGCACAGAGACTCTAGCTGATGAACGAGTGTCACGGTGCCACGAATCCGCAGGACAAAACATCTACACAACTCATTCTGACATAAATATATGCATTTTTAATGGCGGGTGAAAAAATATTTATACGGCGCTATTTTCTCAGTCCACAGGTGTTGCAAAAAAATCATTTTGGACGCTGTTTGCAAGCTTAAAAAAACCAAACCCACAAACCACACAATGAAATCTCCATGAGCTTGGGAACGAATGGCACAATGAGTGACTTCTTCTACATTGATGGTTGATTTGTCTTACCTGGAGCCTGTTGGAGAACCATCTCCGACAGATCCTGCAGGTGTATGAAGAGAACGAGTCCTCCGACACCAAACAGCATCAGGAACCAGAACGAACACGGCGGCTTAAACACAGACACACGCAACCTCCTCCGGCCACGGAGAACATCCACCATCTTACAATCCATGAAGAGCATCAACCAAAGAAGCACCTGAGGAACGAGAGAGAGAAGACTTCAGTTTAGCATGAAACAGTCTCTATAGTGTCGTATATCCCAGGAAGAAGAACAAATGTGGGCGGGGCTTGATTTCGCACATGGAAATTGATTGGATGGTCGTGGTTTGCTATTGGCCGATCTCATGTGAGTGACAGGTTATAGCCCCGCCCACAGTTATTCCGATTCAGGATTACGAGGCACACTACATAAATCATGTATAATCTGCAAAAGTGCAAAAGACATTTCACCCCTGCATATTAAATAGGAATTAATAAATATAGTAATAATAATAGTCAGAAAAGTATTAAAAGCTTTTGTATACATTTTCATGTGTTTCATTGTTGAGTGTCATATTTGATTCATCAGGCTTTTATTGCTCAAATATAGTGAGAATATGGAGGGAAAAACACAGATTTTATTCAAAATATCCAATTTGTTGCAGATGTTGATATTAATATGAATTTATGATGCTTGTAATGTAAATCAATAACAGATACTAAGAATAAAATGGATATAAATATCAGTCATCATTCTATATCTGCTAATAATATCTTAGTAAGATGGTTTTACATTTTTTTGTTGCTTTTTATGGTTTTATGATGGTTTTTTAAACATATAATGCAATGCAATGATGATTGGAGATGAGCAAATAAACCATCCTCAAAATCCTGATGATCATATTTGATACTCATGATTTTTCTAAAAAATGATGACTAGATAATCAAGTGAACCTGAGTTGCTTTAGTCAATCTTGAAATATTACTAACACGGTTATTCTTAACTAAGAGTAACTGCACTAATATAAGTTATAAAAATGAACAGTGACCTTGAATGTGAGCAGATACACTCTAAAAAATGTAATAAAAAAAATTTACAGTTGAAAGTGAAAGTTGAAGTTGGGTTCAGATTTTAAATTACATTTAACCCAACATTTCGGTTTTTCCATATTTGACACAAATATGGGTTAAAACAACCCACAAACCAGTAAAACCATCCTCGAGTCTCAAATATAGTGAGAATATGGAGGGAAAAACACCCAAATTTTATTCAAAATATGCAATTTGGTGCAGATGCTGATATTAATATGAATTTCTGATGCTTGTAATGTAAATCAATAACAGATACTTAGAATAAAATGGATATAAATATCAGTCATCACTCTATATCTGCTAATAATATCTTAGTAAGATGGTTTTACATTTTTTGTTGCTTTTTATGGTTTTATGATGGGTTTTTTTTATGATGGTTTTATGTTGTTTTAAACAACGCAATGATGATCCTGATGATCATATGTGATGATTTTTCAAAAAAATGATGTATAGATAATCAAGTGAACCTGAGTTGCTTTAGTCAATCTTGAAATATTACTAACACGGTTATTTTTAACTAAGAGTAACTGCACTAATATAAGTTATAAAAATGAACAGTCAAACCCTGAATGTGAGCAGATACACTCTAAAAAATGTAATAAAAAAAATTACAGGTGAAAGTGAAAGTTGAAGTTGGGTTCAGATTTTAAATTACATTTTTAACCCAACATTTCGGTTTTTCCATATTTGACACAAATTTGGGTTAAAACAACCCACAAACCAGTAAAACCATCCTCGAGTCTCAAATAGAGTGAGAATATGGAGGGAAAAACACCCAAATTTTATTCAAAATATGCAATTTGGTGCAGATGCTGATATTAATATGAATTTCTGATGCTTGTAATTTAAAACAATAACAGATACTTAGAATAAAATGGATATAAATATCAGTCATCACTCTATATCTGCTAATAATATCTTAGTAAGATGGTTTTTACATTTTTTGTTGCTTTTTATGGTTTTATGGTGGTTTTTTAAACATATAACGCAATGCAATGCAATGATGATTGGGAGATGAGCAAATAAACCATCCTCAAAATCCTGATGATCATATTTGATGATTTTTCTAAAAAATGATGAATAGATAATCAAATGCACCTGAGTTTCTTTAGTCCATCTTGAAATATTACTAACACAATTATTCTTAACTAAGTGTATAATGCAAAATAAGTTATAAAAATGAACAGTGAAACCCTGAATGTGACCAGAAGAACATTAGGATTCGCTCACAAACCAGTAAAACCATCCTCGAGTCTCAATGCAGTGGTTTCATAACATCAACATGAGGATGTAATGCATTTCACTTCACTGAGAGACACACAAGTTGACTTTCACGTCATGTTCCTCAGTGTCGGCATGATCAAATCATCCCGTAGCGCTGCACTCGTATTTACCGAAGCGATGAATGACAGAGGAATAAGCACAAATGCATATAGACTCAACGGCCCATTATCTCAGCGCTGGAAACACTGATCATTTGAGCTGATCTCAGAACAGAGTAATCAGTGAAAGGCTACATGTGCTTGATTCATATGTTCTGCTCTAGCTCTTGCATATGTTCAAAACAGAAAATTTACAATTTTCTACAATACATTTTTTTTTCTTACTCTTCTTAAAGCTTAAAGCTCATCTTTGATCACCAGAATTACATATTTAAATGTTTTTTCCTTGCAAAATACTCTTCAAACCTTAAAATAGCTTGAATGTAATTCGACACCCTTGCCTCATTTAGTATGCTGGGTTCTATGAATATGCAAATGAGCCCCGCCTCCCCACCTTTGCAGTCTATATAACATGAATACTGCACAATATTACACCCCACTTAACTTGACACATCAGACCAGCAAAAGTTGCACAAAATTGAATAAAAATGACAAATAACTACTGAACGAGGTCATTTGACAACAACAAATCACTGCATAATGCTTCACAATTTCATTATTGTAGGCTGTGCATATACAGTGCTTTGCGATATTTTATTTAAAACACATCCACCTTTAAAAACTCGTTGTTTGTTGGTGGCCTCATTAAAATGCATTCATAAATATCATAATTTTACACTGCAGAGGAAATTGAATTTCCTTGAAATCCTCAAAGAGTGTAATAACACATGCATATGTTAAAACAGGATTGTGTTAGTCTGCTGTTGTATGAATAATTACAGCAGGTTTTCTGAGAGGATTAATATTCTGAGGCTCGTTAGTGTGTGAGTCTCATTAGAGGAGCTGTCACAGCGTGAGACACAGTTTACCAGGGAAACAAGATGACAGGAGGATGGAAAACACCACGTGAAACACTGAAGGTGAACAGAGAGAACAGTTTATTAAAAGAAAATGGCTGCCACTGCAAAACAAACAGAAAAAAAGTCACTTTCACATCAAAACTGCTTCTTCAAACTCATTTTTCTTGGATTTTGAATTTAGGCGAGTGTATTTGATCTTGGTTTTCTGCGGTGTATGCAAATGAGCGTTGGTCAGGTCATCTCTCAGATAATGAGAATATACCGTTGCCGAAGTCGAGGATGTTGCCATGGTGATCTGATGTTGCCCGAGCGTCTCCGCTCCACAAATAAATAGACGTGAGATGTAAATGTCTAATTCTGTTCATAAATTTGCAGCACCGCCCACATATGACAACGCTTACACATCTTCATCTTCATCGTTCAACTCTATCTGGAGAAGCTGCAGTTCATTGTGGAGGAAAACTCACACACACACTCATGTGTTAATGCGCTCGTGCTGTTTTTACACTGAATTACACTCTTCACATTCACCAGAACAACTGCAACGCTGAACATCATAACCTCCAATAGAGCTTAATTACACTCAGAACAGCTCTGAAAGAGAGAAAGAGTGTGTGTGTGTGTGTGTGTGTGTGTGAGAGAGACTTGACTTTCAATATCTTTTATTTTAAAAACGATATCAAAAATATTTGTTCATCTTTCCTTCAATTTGTACAAAGAAAAAAAAAGAAATAGACAAACCAAAAACTAAAAGAAAAATAAACAGATAACAAAATAAATAAATATAATAAATTACCAGTGAAAAACCAACACACCCAATTCATGGACCGTAACAATTGCTTCTTTGACACCCCATATCATTTCAAATAAACTAACATTTTTTGTTTGCTGATAATACGTGTACTCAATAACTAACTACTCGACATTTTACCAGCAAGTTTAGCTTGTCCCAACAAAAAATTGGCAAGCTTACACTCCTGTTTCCAAATATAAACAATGTCTTGTTAAATAAAAACCCAAGTTTACACATGATTCCATCAAGCAACACAAACAAAGGGACTAAACGAAAACATTGACAGAATAAATGAAAAACATTGTCAGTATCATTACAAAAAGGACATGTTGATGAAACCAATGGATTGAACCTGGAAACAAAATGATTAGTGGCCACAATACCATGAATGATCCTCCACTGAAGATCCCCACTTCTCTTTGGTATTGGAGGCTTATATAAAAGTTAGGAGCAGGAGCAGTGTTGCCAGTATTTTACTGTAAAAAACCTGGTACGGTCTAACAGTGCAGAACAGCTCACACCACATAGTCTTTTCCTCAAAGAAACCAACAGTGGTTCGATTGAAATGGCATATAATAATCCAGAAAGTGGACACCCCTGTCGTATGCCTCGAGTTACAGGAAAGGGGCATTTCTGAGCATACTATAAATATTATTATACAGAAGCTTAATAAGTGGACCCAAAACCAAAAGCCTCTAAAGTTTTAAAAATATATTCATGATCTACCCGATCAAAGGCTTTTTCTTGATCAAGAGAAAGAAAACCTACGTCCAATGCATCTCTTTTCCCAATAGATATCAAATCTCTTATCAAAAAAAAAGATTATCAAAAATTGTTCGTTCGGGAATACAATAGGTTTGATCTTCATGAATGACACTTGATATGAATTGCTTTATCTATTTGTTATAGCCTTTGACAATATCTTCAAATCAACAGTTAGAAGTGATACAGGGCGCCAATTTTTCAAAAAACCCAAGTCTCCTTTCTTTGGGATCAGTGTCAGGACAGCTCTTCGGCAGCTCAGAGGAAGAACCCCCCGATCCAAACATTCTAAAAAAACGTATAAAACTCTGTCAGGCCGTCTATCCCA